CTTCCCAGATGTTTATGGAACTTCCAAGATGAGCATGGAACTAGGCAGCAATTCATAGAACTTCCGAGAATTTAATTGAACTACCGAGCAGTACATTGAGCTTTTGAACATTTCATATAACCTCCGAGATGTTCATAGAACTTCAGAGATTATCATAAAACTTCCGAGATGCAGTTAATTGAACTTCCGAGAAGTTTATTTCAAACTTCCAAAACTCTCATAGCACTTCTGAGATATTAATAGGACTTACAAGATGATCATAGAATTTCTGAGCAGTTCGCAAAACTTCTGAGATGTTCATAGAACTTCCGAGATGGTCATAGAACTTCCGAGCAGTTCACAGAACTTCTGAAATGTTCATAGAACTTACGAGGTATTCATCGAACTTCCGAGATGTTCATAGAACTTCCGAGATGATCAAAGAAATTCCGAGCAGTTCGCAAAACATCTTAGACGTTCATAGTACTTTAGAGCTTCTTTTAGAACTTCTGATATGTTCATAGAAATTCTGAGATGATCATAGAATTTCCGAGCAGTTCATAGAGCTTCCGAGTAGTTTATTCTATAACTTCCAAAACTCTGATAGAACTTCCGAGATGTTCATGAAACTTTCAAGATGAGCATGGAACTAGGCAGCAATTCATAGAAATTCCTAGAATTTAATTGAACTACCGAGCAGTACATTGAGCTTCTGAACAGTTCATATAACTTCCGAGATGTTCATAGAACTTCAGAGATTATCATAAAACTTTCGAGATGATCAATGAATTTCAGAGCAGTCAATTGAACTTCCGAGAAGTTTATTTTGAATTTCCAAAACTCTCATAGCACTTCTGAGATATTTATGGGACTTACAAGATGATCATAGAAATTCCGAGCAGTTAGTAGAACTTCTGAGATGTTCATAGAACTGCCGAGGTATTCATAGTACTTCAGAGCTTCTCATAGAACTTCCGAGATGATCATAGCTCTTCTGAGATGATCATAGAATTTCCGAGCAGTTCATAGAACTTCCGAGTAGTTTATTCTATAACTTCCAAAACTCTGATAAAACTTCCGAGATGTTCATGAAACTTCCAAGATGAGCATGGAGCTTGGCAGCAATTCATAGAACTTCCGAGAATTTAATAGAACTACCGAGCAGTACATTGAGCTTCTATACAGTTCATATAACTTCCGAGATGTTCATAGAACTTCAGAGATTCTCTTAGAACTTCCGAGATGATCTATGAATTTCAGAGCAGTTAATTGAACTTCCGAGAAGTTTATTTTGAACTTCCAAACCTCTCATAGAACTTCCGAGATATTCATGGGACTTACAAGTTGATCATAGAAATTCCGAGCAGTTTACAGAACTTCTGAGATGATCATAGAACTTCCTAGATGTTCATAGAATTTACGAGATGATCATAGAACTTCCGAGCAGTTCACACTTTTTCATAGAACTTACTAGGTGTTCATAGAACTTCAGAGATGTTCATAGAACTTCTGAGATGATGATAAAATTTCCGAGCACTTCATAGAACTTCCGAGAAGTTTATTCTATAGCTTACAAAATTCTGATAGAACTTCCGAGATGTTCATGGAACTTCCAAGATGAGCATGGAACTTCGCAAAAGTTTACAGAACTTCCACGAATTTAATTGAACTACCGAGCAGTACATTAAGATTCTGAACCGTTCATATAACTTCCGAGATGTTCATAGAACTTCAGAGATGATCAATGAAGTTTAGAGCAGTTAATTGAACTTCCGAGAAGTTTATTTCGAACTTCCAAACCTCTCAAAGAACTTCCGTCCTGTTCATAGGACTTCCGCGCAGTTGACAGGACTTTCGAAAAATTCATAGAATTTTCGAGATGTTTGTAGATCTTCACAGATGTTCATAGAACTTCCGAGTAGTTCATAGAACTTCTGAGATGTTTCTTAAACTTCCAAAGTGTTCATAGAACTTCAAAAATTTTCATAGACCTTCAGAGATGTTCATAGAATTTCCGAGTAGTATATAGAACTTCCGAGAAGTTTATTCTATAACTTCCAAAACTATCATAGAACTTCCGAGATGTTCATGGAACTTCCAGCATGAGCATAGAATTTCTGAAATGATCATATAATATCCGAGCAGTTCATAGAACTTCCGAGAATTTAATACAGCTTCTGAACTGTTCATAAAACTTCCGAGATGTTCATAGAACTTCCGTCAAGTTCATCAAACCCCAATGCGATTCGAAATATCACTTTTCAATTTAATTATTTTTTTCTAAATACTCCAAGCACCTACCATTAGGGTGTGGCTTATTTTAATAATTTGTTCCCATGTGGAAAATGATTATTGGGACTAATTATGTAACATATCAAAATTTGAGCATTTTTCGTTGACATTAGGAGTTAGCGCAAGGACTCAAATTGTCGAACGATGAGCTTCATCAAATAAAACATATGCTTTTCTAAGTAAACTCGTGATTATGTGACCCTTAAGCGCGAAAATGTTGTCTTCTTCACGATATCTTCACTCGTTCTCGAGATATATCTAGATAGAGCTGGAATTAGGGCATTACAGCTTTTGTAAACAATGACTTCACTCGTTGATTTCTAGCAACTCAAGGCACGCCTACCAAACCAGCACATCCAACGGGTCGAGGAAGTCTTCCCCTATTCGATAGTAATGTTGATTTGCCAGGGAGAGTCATGCCTTTCGAGAAATTATCGAGAGAAGCCATTGTTTACAAAAGCTGTTACGCCCTAATTCCAGCTCTATCTAAATATGGCAAAACGAGGCTCCCGCACATGGACTTTCGCTTGCATATTGATGTATCACAATCACCATCCTTGCAGTGCTATATCTAGACCAACAATTGAAATAGGCGGAACAACCAAACGTAAACAATGGCCTTAAACGCAAATTTCTAGATCTGCATCGTGAGTAAATATCTAAGAGGAAGCGGTGACAATTGGCTTCTTCCTCTTTTATTTCTATCGCTATCTCTATCTTTAGCTAGCTCTATCTCTATCTTACGCACATGAAATCGGCCAATCAGGAGCTGGTTCACGTTTGACAGAAAAGTGGTTCATTTTCGCCCCCGTATTGTCACCTCTTCTCTTAGGTAAATATGAGAATGAGAAAAAGATAGAGAGAGAGGAAGAAATCGAGAGAGTGAAATAAAGCTATTTTTAGACAGGGCAAGTCAATTGATCAAGTCAGATGAATTCAACTGACTTGAACGCGAATTGAACGTGTAAACCGTGCCATTCAACTGACTTGATCAACTCACTTGAATTGAAAAAAGTTGAACCAGCTTCAAACTTTTCAAGCCAATTGAATTCAACTGAGTTGATCAATTGTCTTGTCCTGTCTAAACCCAGCTTAAAGGTAAAACTTATTACAGTAAACTAATTTTAAATAGATATTTGCGATCAACGATTTAGGAAAGATTTTCGAGTTACGGTGGTAAATTTTGGAATTTTACATTGGAAATGTGGTTGAAGTGGTCTGGATTTCCACCGAGTTAGGGAGAATATCGATCCCGCATTTGAAATTAAAATTGCGAAAGCAAATAGTATGCCGATCGCCTCCCGGATCCTAAATCTGGCACTGTACTCAATTTAATTCAAGCTGAACATTGCATTAGGTCCTAAGTGACATTGACAGATTCTCTTCGTCGACTTTCTCTTTGCATCCCCATGGCCATGTAAAGACAATCCCACTTATTTTCAGCTCACAGTTCGATAAAAGAAGCATTTTAGTAGCATCTAATACGTCAACCAGATCAAGAAACGGTTAAGTGCTCAAGTTATAAACGAAAGAGAAAGTCGATGAAGAGAATCGATCAATGTTACTTAGGACCTAATGCAATGTTCAGCTTGAATTAAGTTCTTGATTTTGCCATCTCCGACCACTGTGCGTCTCTGAGTACTTAAAATTTAAACATTTCAAAAGGTCCTATCTACATTGATCGATTCTCTTCATCGACTTTCTCTTCCGTTAATAACTTAGCTGCAAAACATTTCCCTATTGTATTTGACGTTTTGGATGCACTGTGTTGTAAAATTACCGCGAAATCTGTTTGCATGATAACCACCAAAAGAGAAAGTCGATGAAGAGAATCGATCAAAGCAGATAGGACCATTTGAAAGGTTCATCGAGATTTAACTCTTTGAAATGAAACCGATGATTGAAACAGGTTCCTTTGTGTCAACATCGAAATGTGCTGAAATTATCTATCTCGGCATCAACCATTGAAATCATCTTAAACTATAAAGAGCTCTTGCAAACGATGCAGTATGAGTGCCCTCTCATGCGTGCATTCTTACTTGTTGCACCGCTCTGTTGCAAAGCTTATCGAATGGCACCAAACCAAAATATGCATCATGTTCCCTTCATACAAAATGACGGACGTAGCCAAGAGAGGGTTGGGGAGCAGATAAAGACTGGCATGACATATGGTAGAAGAGTGGGTGTCAAACATGAAGAACAGACACACGCTACGAACGCTCCTCTGCAGTGACAATCGCGGCCTCGTTCGTTGGTAGAAGGTATATGCTAAAGGTTCTGCTCTAATATTTATGACTACAGACACCACGTTTCTCTTCGAGTCGGCACGGCATAACACTATGATGATTGTCAATTGTTGAGTCCCCCCGTTAGAGTGAAATCCCACACAGGCAGGCACGCAGTCATGGTGGAAAATAATACCCTATTGGAAATGCAGCTCAACGTACCACTCAAAGAGGCATATGGCACAGAAAATCAAACATTTTTGCATTGGGAAACAGTTTGGAACGCATCTGAACTGGGTTATTCGTCATATGATACCTAATGACAGGTTTTCTGTTTCTGTGGAAACCATATACGCATTGGATTTGATGTTTCGAACTCCAACTGCAACAGCTATCGAATTGTGGAGGCTTCTAGATCTCAATATCAGTCTTCAAGTTTTAAATATTAGGCACCCCACATAAATTCTTTAAACTAACAATTCCTTCCATTTCTTTTGTTCGCAGGGAAAATGAACTCGGCTCCAAGCTCATCGTCCAGATGGACGGCAAGAAGACGCGACTGGTCAAACCGAAGCTCACCGGTCCGGCGGCGATCCGCGGCGAACTGCTGGCGGCCCGTGGCGGTCCGGAACCGTTCAACGACTTCACCTTCGATCACTCGTACTGGTCGGTGGACGAGGGCGACCCGCACTACACCCCCCAGGACAGCGTCTTCGAGGACCTCGGCACGGAGATTGTGGACTGCGCATTTCAAGGTACGTGCTCCATCACCACCGTCATCATCATCATCATCATTATCCACCGATGCAATCATTATTGGCAGGGGTCTGGGTGTGCATTTCGTCATAATGGGCACAAGTGAAGCTGCTGACCCAGAAAATTGAGGCTGTGTTGCGAATGGTTGCGTTGTTTTTGGGCAATCCGGTCAAGTCTCTGATGAAACGCGAAGCGTAAAATGAGTCGGGAAATTGCGGCGCTAGTTGATTTGGTTCGTATCAGGTCGACGGCTCTTTCGGATCAGCTGATCGAAACCATCAATCAATCATCGTTTCGACGAGCGCCCCGCGATCACTGCACTAACTGCTCGGACAACAAAGAAGCCTCGTTCGAACCAATCTCCAGAGTGTATCTATGTAGTAAATGATGTTGTTTAGACGGCTAATTGGCACCTTCGTCTTCTTCGTCCATTTCTTCTGCACGAAGGTGATGGCGGTGATTGTCATGTATCCACGTGAGAGGCAGGTGGTCGATCGCGCTGTGATGATGGAACGTTTTGGAACGATTTTCGTCTGAATAGGAAATGACTCGCGTCGAAAAAGGCTCGGTTCGGTCGCTTCATGATGAGCTGTAATTTTCGATTTAATAGCACATCGAATTGGGAAACGCACGTGCCGCAGCGAACCGGTTGTTTGATGAAGTTTGTTGATGAGTTCGTTAAGTGAAGATCAAGGTTTTTGGAGGGGTTTTATGGAAATTGAACGTGCAGTTTCTTGTAGGATTTGAGGTGGGTTGCCACTAGATTAATTCTATTTCGACTTTTCGACTCCTGTCGTATAGTTGACAATTGATTCCAATGTAAAGGTAACTGAGCGGTTCCATTTAAAATGTCTAATTAAGACAGTCTTCTAGACTGCTTAGAAGTTTTACTGGTCTTGAAACGAAAACTCAAAACAAATCTTCCACAGCTTTTGTATCGAAGGATAGCTTTCAAATTAAATCTCTTTGGTCGCCATGTTACTCTTAGTCGGTCGCCAACTAGCTCTAGGTGCGATAATGAGTTTCTTAATTTTGAAATTGATTTCAATTTCAGTGCAATTTTGAGGTTCGACTCAATACAGATCACAAATATGACATAACCTCAATACCCAACACCTCCAATTTTGGAATTCCTGCTGAAGGTAAATTCATTCATACCCATCATGATGGCATTACAATCATCAAGCTAGACTCATCTAACCGTTTGAACAAACGAAACCCCAACATCTAAAAACTCTAATTTTCCCGCACCGCCGACATAATCACAGACATCATTTTCCACTCGATTGCAAACTCGACCAAGGCCAAACCTTATTCACGCTCTCGACCTCTAAGCGCTCTCGGTCTCGGATCGACCGGCGTTGCAATGCAATAAAATGGAACAAAAATATTGCAAGTCCCTTCGACTTGAACTGCCGCAACAACTGAAATTTGCATTTTTCTGTATGCAAATAGCGTGGGTAAATCGAAACCATCAAACTCACCTTTTTCCCGCCCGAATGCAGCAAACCTTGAAAACCTTCAATTTCTCATCATTTCTCTCTCTCCCTCTCTCTCTCTCGTTTGTAGGTTACAATGCGTGCGTTTTCGCGTACGGCCAAACCGGAAGTGGTAAAACGTTCACCATGATGGGCACGGCGGAAGCTCAAGGTCTCATCCCACGGATCTGCCGCTCACTATTCGGGCGGATGAAACTGGGTCAGGACGAAGGTGTCGGCTACAAGACCCAGTGTTCGTACTTGGAAATTTACAACGAACGGGTCAAGGATCTGCTGGGACCGAGTGGCGCCGGACACGGGCTGCGCGTTCGGGAGCATCGGACTCTGGGACCGTACGTGGAAAACCTGTCGCAGCATCCGGTGTCGGATTACGGCGAGATTCAAAACTGCATGGTTCAGGGCAACATCCTGCGGACGACGGCCAGCACCAATATGAACGATACGAGCAGTCGGAGTCATGCGATCTTCACGATCACGTTCGTTCAGGCAAGGTATCTGAACGACATGCCCAGCGAGACGGTGTCGAAGATTCACCTGGTGGATTTGGCCGGAAGTGAGAGGGCGAACGCGACCGGCGCAACCGGGCAGCGATTAAAGGAGGGAGCACATATCAACAAATCCTTGGTTACACTAGGCAGTGTCATCTCAGCCCTGGCCGAGCAGACCAATCCCACACACAACAAGCGAATCCTGTACATTCCCTATCGCGATTCGATCCTAACGTGGCTACTAAAGGACAGTCTGGGTGGAAACAGTAAAACCATCATGATAGCGGCCATTTCTCCGGCGGATGTGAACTACAGTGAAACGCTGAGCACTCTGAGGTATGCCAATCGGGCGAAGAATATCATCAACAAGCCAACGGTCAACGAGGATCCGAACGTGAAGCTGATCCGAGAGCTGCGGGAGGAGATCTTCAAGCTCAAGATGATGCTGTCGACGGATGGGTCTTCGCTGGAACCATCGCTGAAGGTGTTGGAAGATTTGCACAAGAAGGAAGCACAGGAGAAGGTTCTGACCGAGGAATGGGCCGAGAAGTGGCGAGAGGCGCAGTCGATTCTGAGGGAACAAAAGTCCCTTGGGTTGAGAAAGTCCGGTGTGGGGGTTGTGTTGGATTCGGAAATGCCACATCTCATTGGAATCCACGACGACATCAGTACCGGGGTGACGCTGTACAGTTTGAAGGAAGGTGAAACCACCATCGGTACGGCGGAAGCTTCCTACCCACAGGACATTGCCCTCAACGGGATGGGCATCCATCCGGAGCATTGCCGGATCGTACTGGACAATGGAAACGCAACAATCTACCCGAACCCGTCAGCCACCTGCCTGCTGAATGCCAACATCATCGAAAACCCCACGGCCATCAGCCAGGGGGACATTTTGCTGCTCGGTCGTACGAACATGTTCCGCTACAACAACCCTGCCGAGGCGGCCAAGATGCGCCAGGACAACAACCACGCGCAACGGTCCTCTCGGCTCGACCTGTCCCGTCTGTCGCTGATCGCAGCCTCGCGGGAAAACCTCTGCAGCAGCTTCCTGAGCGATGATGACAATATTGCCTCCCCGCAGAATCCCCTCCGCTTCCGGCAGTACACCCCCAGCCGGGAGGATACGGAACTGCAGGACGAACACCGGAAGATTCTGCAGACGATCGAGAACGCCCTGAAGCAGCTGAACCTGGAGCGGACGCGAATGCACGAGCAGTTCAAGAACAAGATCAAACTCTGCCGGGATGAGCTGGACCGGCTGGAGAGTACCAAGCGGGACAAGCTGATGATCCTGGACTGCCGGATAGACGAGCTGATGGCCCGGCGGGAGATGATACTGTGGGAGAAGAGCAACGAGAAGACGCAGGTTAGTGGGGGGTTTTTGAACTATTCGGTTCAGCGGGCAAATTTAGCGTGGCATTTTAGAATCAAATATTTAGGGGGGAGGCGAAGGCAACGGATCAAGAAGACTGGCAACTCTCACGTTTTCCCGCGATCGATATAAGACAGGCACAATCGTCTCATACAGGGATGCCAGATTTGGAGACATTTGAAATTCTGCGAAGAATTTTTTTTTCCACTGACATTTTGAAGGCTTTTTAAACTTAAAACAGAAGAGTTAGAGGAAATGGACGTAATTTCGGCTTAAATGCCCCTAATTTGGGCCAATGCATAAATTCAGCAATCAACTAAATTTTCAATAGCGACCAAAAATATCCATTAGTACCGTCCCAATGACGCGTTCATCTTGATAAAATTGATAAATAGCTAATTTTTAGCGATAGGCCCAATCTTAGATCAATAGGCCTACATTAGAGCCATTTCCCCTGGTGCAACATTTTAGCGAAATGCGCGGAATTTGGCGCTGCGCAGAATTATGACACTTTGCGGTATGTAGAGGACTTTACTGAAATATTCGATCAACCTGCCGACTAGGGAATATCTTACAAACATAATTTGAATTGTTAAAATGCTGGATATCTTCAGAATAATGCCTGGGAAAAATATCCAGAAATCTTCGAACAGTTGCGGATCTCTCGAATTCTCGAATCGATCACCCTGCCGTCTAGGGAGAATATCTGTGGACGTCAGTTGAAAATGTTCAAAAGTTTATCATCAACTGCAAAAATCTCGGAGAAACATCCAGAGGACATGATTGAAATCTTCGATCAGCTCCAACCAGAAATGTTGGGAGAATGCAGCCAGGAATCCTTCTTGTTGGGTCCTTATTGCCGGGTTATCCGCGAATAAAGATACCCACAGCTTAAGGGATTTTCACTAATAGGGGGGATTACCTTATTTGTTTCAATATATACAGCTATACTGTCTTGGACAAAGTTGTTGCACTGGGTTAGACCAACAAGCCTGGGCCATTAGATTCAGGTTTAATTGGGAAATAAGCCACTAGAGGCGCTTCACTTTCATTTTACTTATGACCAGGCATGAAAAATCATTTACATTCATTTGCCTCTAACTTTTTTCATCAACAGCATTCCGCAAAATTATGTATAGAGTTTTAGTAGGTTTTGTGATTAGCTACAACTTTTGCCAAGAACTCAAATCTGTATTTCTTATGCATCACGAATTAGAGCGGGCAGAACTCGTTACTGTTTTTCAGTGAATGTAAAATACATTCACTGAAAAACAGTAGTGGATTCTGGTTGCTCTGGTTCGTCATGTATAAGAAATACATTTTTGAGTTCTTAACAAAAGTTGTAACTAATAACAAAACCTACAAAAGCTCAATACATCATTTTGCGAAATTATGTTGATGAAAAAAGTTAGGGGTAAATGAATGTAAATGAATGCACGAAATGAATGCAAATGATTTTCCATGCCTGCTTATGACGGGCTTCAATATAGAATATCTAGTTATCCTGGCCATATAGAAGGTTACTGTCATCAACAAAGTTGTTCAGGGGACCAAGTCCTTTTGGTTGGTGGCCATGTTAGTTCAGAACTCTCAAACTATGCGGCGCTCGTGTGCCAATGAACTTCCTGTATAAGCTGTATCTCAAGATCATGGCTATATAGAAGGTTACTGTCATCAGCAAAGCTGTTCAGATAACCAAGTCCTTTTTGTTGGTTGCCATATTAGTTCAGAACTTTCACACTATGCGGCACTCGAGTGCCAATGAAATTCCTGTATAAGCTGTATCTCGAGATCATGGCCATATCGAAGGTTACTGTCTTCAGCAAAGTTCTTCAGATGACCACGGGCTTCCGAATGGTGTCCATATTAGTTCAAAACTCTCACACTATGCGGCGCCAGTTTGCACATGAACTTCCTGTATACGCTGTATCTCGAGATCATGACCATATAGAAGGCTACTGTCATCAGCAAAGTTGTTCAGGTGACCAAGTCCTTTCGGTTGATGGCCATATGGCTTCCGGCATATGCTATGTCTCGAAAACCTGCCTATGTAGGATGTTGTTGTGTGTTTGTATTTTTGGTGATGTGAAGAGGTCGAAAATCGTTATTGGACGCCATCTTGGAATCCAAGATGGTGGCCATCGGTTTTAGAAACACTGCAAAATACCCTACAAAATGGGTATTTCCGGAATGGGGACGACGTGTAAAGGTCAAAAAATTATGCTAGGCACCATTTTGAAATCCAAGATGGCGACAATCTGTTCTATAAAATCTGTCGAATACCTTACAATCCAGCCATTCCATAGCAAAGCGATATAGGGGTGCTCTGAATTTCGTTAAAATTTGTAGTTTTGTTCTTTATTGCCAAATATTAGACTTGTATTTTTTTTTTGTTTTCTCATTAGGGTGATCCAAAAAACCGGTTTTTCGGTGTGGTAAAGTATCAAAAAATCCTCAACATTATTGCACATTTTTCTCTCAAACAAAACAACGATTTTGCCGTTATTCCTACCACGATAGCTTACAGAGTAAATTTTAGTATGACTATAATATTAAAAATAAAGATTTGAACTCCTGGCATCTTGGCAAATCTAATAAACCAAACCAATGATATTATGGGGCTTCACGAATGTTTATCGTAAGTCGAATCATCGCATATCTTGTTGAAGCTGCAGAATTTCAAAATGCTCAAAAAATCTTAGTGAACATCGAACAAGATTTCGATTGACCTGTCGGCCGGACAATTTGGATAGTGATGAATAGTGTTTCCTATTTTTTGCTGAAGAGATTCAGAACCGTCTGAAATGATTCCAAACTTATCTGAAGTGATTCAGTACTTGCGGAAGTGATTGCAATCTTTTATATATTTAATCAATACTTTCCGGAGCAGTTCCGAACTTTACTGAAGTGATTCAGTACCTTCAGAAGTGATTCCGAACTTTTCTGAAATTAAACAGTTCTTTCCGAAATGATTAATGTGATACTCTAAGGAAGCCTTAGCGTGAAACTTCAAAGGCACAAATGTCAGCTTCCACAAAACATACAAATTTGAAATTGCTACTCTCTGTTTGTGGTAGCACAGGCTTCCTTAGAGTATCACCTTAAGTACTTGCGGGAGTTTTTTTTGGAATGATTCAATACTTTCCAAAGTAAATCTAAAATTTCTAAAGCAATTCAGTGCTTTCTTAAGTGATTTCGAACTTTTCTGAAGTGATTCAGTACTTTTTTTAAGTTATTCCAAACTTGTATGAAGCGATTCAGTACTTTTCAAAGTGTTTCTGATTTTTTCTGAAGAGAGTCAGGACCTTCTGAAATGATTCAGTAGTTGCAGAAGTGATTTCAAACTTTTATGAATTGATTAAGGACTTACCGGAGTAATTACGAAATTTTATAAAGTGATTCAGCACCTTCCGATGTGGTTCGGAATTTTTCTCAAGTTATTTAGTTCTTTCTGAAGTGATTCCAAACCTTCTTAAATGATTCAGGGCTTTCCAAAAAAATGCAGTACTTGCAGAAGTGATAGCAAACTTTTTTTTGAATAATTTTAGTTATTCAGTTCTTTCTGAAGTGATTTGAAATTCTTCTTAAATGATTCAGTGCTTTCCAAAGTGCTGCAGTACTTGCGGAAGTGATAACAAACTTTTAAACCTTCCAAAGTGATTCAAACATTTCTAAAGTATTTTCTGAAGTGATTCCTAACTTTTCTCAAATTATTCAGTACTTTCTGAAGTGCTTCCAAACTTGTATGAAGCGATTCAGTTCACTGTTCGAAGTGTTTCCGTTTTTTTCTGAAGAGATTTAGGGCCTTCTGAAATTATTTCAAACTTTTCTGAAGTGATGCAGTCCTTGCAGAAGTGATTTCTAACTTTTATGAATTGATTAAGTATATTCCGGAGTAATTACGAAATTTTATGAAGCGATTCAGTACCTTCCGAAGTGATTCCCCCAAAATTATTCAGTTCTTTCTGAAATGATTCCAAACTCTTCTTAAACAATTCAGTGTTTTCCAAAGTGATGCAGTACTAGCGGAAGTGATAACAAACTTTTTTGGAATAATTCAATAATTTCCAAAGTGAGTCCAAAATTTCTAAAGCAATTCAGTGCTTTTTGAAGTGATTCTAAACTTTTCTGAAGTGATTCGGTACTTCCGGAGTAATAACGAAATTTTATGAAGCGATTCAGTACCTTCCGAAGTGATTCCCAACTTTTCCAAAATTATTCAGTTATTTCTGAAGTGGTTCCAAACTCTTCTTAAATGATTCAGTGCTTTCTTAAGTGATGTAGTAATTGCGGAAGTGATAACAAACTTTTTTGGAATAATTTAATACTTTCCAAAGTGAGTCCAAACTTTCTAAAGTACTTTCCGAAATGATTCCGAACTTTTATGAAGTGATTCAGTACTTTTTAAAGTGATTCCAAACTTGTATGAAGCGATTCAGTACTTTTCGAAGTGTTTCCGATTTTTTTCTGAATATATTAAGGACCTTCTGAAATGATTCCAAACTTTTTTGAAGGGATTCAGTACTTTCTGAAGTAATTCAGTACTTGCAGAAGTGTTTTCAAACTTTTATGAATTGATTTAATACTTTGCGGTGTAATTTAGAAATTGTATGAATTGATTCAGTACCTTCCGAAGTGATTCCGAACTTTTCCGAAGTTATTCAGTTCTTTCTGAAGTGATTCCAAACTCTTTTGAAATGATTCAGTGCTTTCTAAAGTGATTCAGTAATTGCGGAAGTGATAACAAACTTTTTTTAAATAATTCAATACTTTCCAAAGTGATTCCAAAGTTTGTGAAGTACTTTCTAAAGTGATTCCGAACTTTTCTGAAGTGATTAAGTATATTCCGGCTAGTATTCCGGAGTAATAACGAAATTTTATAAAGTGATTCAGTACTTTCAGAAGTGATTCCGAACTTATTCAATTCATTCTGAAGTGATTCCAAACTCTTTTAGTATGATTCAATGCTTTCCAAAGTGATGCAGTACTTCTTT